GTATGCTCCAGTATCTTATCCGAACTTAGCGCACAGCTGACCTGGAACACAAGAACCAAAAACAGTAAATGTAGACCTGCTGTTTCCACTTTCTTCCATCGGCCCTCCTTTATTTGCCTCCTCCCTCCGCAGTAAGGGAGTTGGAAATAGGAAAGCAGCGGACAGTCCTGTGTGAGGTTCTCTTGGAGGACTCCAAGTCGCCGGCAATAACAGCAAATGCCTTCTACATCGCCTCCCTCCCCCTTGCGCTCCGGTCCTCGTACCCCATGTCCCAGGCCTCGAAGTCTGCGTAGTGTCAGCTCCGATCCCTTCCTGTACTGCTTCTGCTGCCCTGCCGCTCCTTCCAGCCACGCGCCTTTTCTACCGTCAAAGCGTCCCTAGGCGTTCTTTATTTTAATCTATAGTTAGAACCTTTCTACTGCCCCTTGATTGGAATGTTGAATTTAACTGCAGTTCCCTGTCTTTGTGTCTGATATTTTTTAAAGGGCTCACACAAACACAGCGCCCTTGACAGGGTCGATAGCTTGCAGTGGAAAATGTGCGAAATTATAACCATGTCGCTGTCCAGGATCGCAGACGTGTACCTTTTAAGGGTAGTCTAAGTGTCGCAACCTTATTAATCTGGCAAAAGACGCCTCACCAGTGGAATAGCCTTATCAGCCGCTGGTCAGCGGAGTGGCCAACGGAAGTAGTGGACAGGGAAGGGGAAGCCATCTGCTATGTGGTTGCATTGTCATCAGGGTACATGAGTCGCTATTTCAATCCAGACTCAGAGCAGTTATAGAGAAGGCGAAGCGGGCGTTAGAAGGGCGATCCAACCGGACTTGATACCTCCTTTACTTACCAACAATTAAAAAGAAGACTCGGTGGAGAGGCGAGTTCCAGGGAGTATTCGCGGATTAAACACGATTGAAGAAGAAGACACGATCGCTGGGACAAGAGATTTATTAACCTGACGTTCCGGATACCTGCGCGAATCCATCATCAGTGACAAAAGCAGATAAGGGTAGGTCATGCATATGCGGCTGCAGTATTTATAGGGTGCAGCAGCCATGCTACCGCACACTTATGAATATTCACGGCTCCCGCCCTTCATCAAGGATCGTTGCACGTGGCGAGATGGCCGACGTTCGCGTCGTTAATTGCTGCAATTTCATCACGTGCGTTGGATGTTGGCGTGATAATTGCTCGACCATCTGACGCGCTGACCCGGGTGTTGGGACGAGTGTTTTCCTGTGCGCACCCCGCGTGGCCAATTACTCCGCCTAGACGAAGTCTCAGCACGGAGTATTGAATGGGAAGATCATTGAACCTGTTAATAGACCGGGGGCCAGTTAGCCATGACTCAAGCAGCTCTCGGCTCACGCGGTTGTCATCTCTTGCGAGGATTTCGACCTCATCAAATTTAATTGTGTGGCCGGAACCCGTCGAATGAGCCGCAACTTGAGAGCTACCGTCATTTCTTCGCACCCCTGCAGCGTGTTCGGCCATTCTCGTTCGGAGATGTCTTTCGGTTTCTCCGACGTAGTTGCTTTGACCGCAACTGCACCAGATCCGATAAACGACTCCAGACGTTTCTAGTCGTGGAAGTGAGTCTTTCGGTTTCATCATCAGACGCCTGATGGTTGCCTTCGGTCTGTGTGCCACTCCAACCCCAAGTGGTGCGGGAAGCCGGCCAACAGCTTCCGAAACGTTCTTGTCATATGGAAGCGCTCGCCAAACTTTGGTGTCCGTGTAGTTAGGCCTTTCGTCCCTTTTGCGTATGCACCGGTTGACGAAGTTGAGCGGGTAGCCATTGGCTTTGAAGACCCGTCGGAGATATTGTAGTTCGGCAATCTTGTCTTCCGGCTCACTGCAGTGCGTTTCCACACGCCGATAGAACGTCCTTACACAACAGCGTTTGTGACTGATTGGGTGGTTGCTGTTGAAATTCAGTACTTGCATCGTATTTGTCCCTTTCCTGAGCACTTTGGTCTTTAGTCCACCACAAACCATGCGACATACGAGGACATGCAGGAAGGCCAGCTGGTTGTTCTCTTTCTCCTCCATCGTAAATTGTATGTCCGGGAAGATCGCATTCAGACGTTCCTTGAATGTCAGCAGTTGATCCCGGTCGATAACGACGAAGGTATCATCCACATACCGGGCCCAGAACTTCGGTTTGTGGTGTTGGAAGACCAGCGACTCTAACCGTTGCAGGACCGCCTCGGCGATGAACCCCGAAATCGGCGAACCCATTGGTGTGCCCTTCACCTGTTCGTAGACTGTCCCGTCGAACGTGAAGTACGTCCTGAGACAGAACTTCAGGAGCTGAAGGCCTTGGGCGCGTCCAAGACGATTCTCCGTTTCATCGTATTTGCTTTGTAGAAGCAGCTCGATTGTCTCGATCGCCAGGTCCTGGGGAATAGAAGTAAAAAGGGATGTAAAATCAAAAGATACCATGACCTCATTTGGATGGAGGCTTACCCCTTTGAGTTTTTCCAGGAATTGTGCTGACGAAGAGACCGTGGTGTCTGACTCAGCGGTCAGGAACTTGAGACGCCGGAACATCTACTTAGCCACTCCGTACGTTGGAGTACCTTTGAGCGACACGATGGGTCGGAGAGGAGCGCCGTCTTTTTGCACCTTTGGGAGGCCATAGAATCAGGCCAAAGCCGTATCTTGGGGTCTCGCCATGCGTCTCTCGGTCGATGTTATTGCACCTGAGTTCTTCAAGGCCAACAACGTAGGATTGATTTCGCGTGTCAGCGCTTTTACAGGGTTCGTTGCACATGGGACACAGAACTGTCGGTCCTCCAGTAAACCTTTGGCTTTTTGAAGGTAGTCTGTCCTGTCCAGTACAACTGTGGCGCGTCCTTTGTCCGCTGGAACGATGACCAAGTTTTTGTCGGCCTTGAGTTCTCTAAGCGCATCACGTTCAGCCTTGGAAAGCACTTTCCGCGGCCTGTGGCCCATTGGGAGAGACGACACTTGGTGTCTGAGGAGGCTCTTAGTCTCCTCAGTGGCCTCCGTCTGACTAAGGATTGATTCCACTGCTGCAATCATGTTAACAGGTTTGGCGTCAGTCGTCTTGAATGAAGCTTCGTGCCTTAAAACCTGCATTTTATCCTTCGTCAGCTCCTTTGACGACAGGTTGTGCACCAGTTTGTCGTTTCTGGACGACGTTGGATTGGGCAGCTTTCGGAATTCGTTCTCCAGTACTGCGTCGCGTATCATTCTCTGTTTGCGGGCTTGTTCAGCTATCCTCTGCAGGATTAGATTTGTACCGATCACGCCCATGAACTCACAGCATCTGGTCTCTTCTTGGTCACTCCTTTGACGGTACTTGCGAAGTCTTGCGTGGCAATCTTGGAGGGGCACTCGGATAATCTTGCTGCCATGTTGAAATACTGCTCGTCTCGCCAAATCTGTGTTAACCGGAGGCTTGTATGGGACACATTTCGGCAGCCCATTATTGTCGAGACACCTGAGCAGAAACCGGATCTGCGAATACGTGGAGGCCTACCGAAGGGCGAAGGTTTCCCATCGCCCGGCCCATCGGAGCGCACCGCGCCCAAATACTTTGTCAATAATTTGAAGCATTTTGTCCCCGGTACGAAGCTGAAGTAGGCAAGAACGGCAGGATTTATTGGTACCAAAAAATTTCGCGACTGCTCTTCAGCTGCTTCCTGTCGCTTCATAAGAGATATAACGAGTGAGAACTTTGCCCAAAACCCTAACCTTGCTGTTTCTGCATCGATTTTCTGCACGAATTCAAATCTGTTGTATTGTTCTCACTCGTTATCCCTCTAATGAAGCGACAGGAAGCAGCTGAAGAGCAGTCGCGAAATTTTTTGGTACCAATAAATCCTGTCGTTCTTGCCTACTTCAACTTTGTCAATAGACGCAAAGAGACGAGTCCCAGGAAGCAGCCTTGAAGAAGAAGAAAAAGACACGATCGCCGGGACAAGAGCTTTATTAGCCTGACGTTTCGGATTCCTGCTCGAATCCGTCATCAGAGACTCGATTGCTGGAACAAGTCTGTCAACAAGTGCAACGACATCGCTACTCCATATTCCGTGCTGAGCCATAGGCTGGCCAATGTAACTGACCACTCGGGGAGCGCGCAAGCCGAGGGGCCAGATGGCCGAGCAATCATCATGTCTGCATCCAACGCGGGTGATGAGATTTCAGCAATTAACAACTTGCATGCCGGCCAGCAAGCAATTAGCGCGCCAGCGAGCAATAATCCTTGATAAAGGAGAGCTCGGTTAATTGCTAAAGGTATGCGGTCACATAGCGACTGCATCCTATAATTACTGCAACTTCCTGTGCACGAGTCACCCTTTTCCGCCACTGTCCCTGATGATGGGTTGAACTGAGAATCCGAAACGTCAGACGAATAAAGCCCTTGTTCCAGCGATCGCTTCTTCTGATCAACTAGTTCCTGGAACTCGCATCTTCGCTTGTATCGACAAGTGCTATATTAGCGGCGCCGCTTCGGATTCTTAATCGAGCCCATCATCAGAGACAGAGTCAGATAAGGGTTGTGGATTGCCCATCCTATAAATATTGCAACACCTGGGCAGCCCATTACCCTTATCTGACTCTGTCTCTGATGATGGGTTCGAGTGAGAATCCGAAACGTCACGCTTATAAAGCGCCTGTTCCAGCAATCGTGTCTCCTTCTCCGCAGAGAGATGTCATTCGTGTGTGAATCACTCAAGTCTATGTCGTTTGAGATCCCCTCGTCGGTATTGCATACCGCCGCAGAAAATACTATTGCGGTAACTGGCAT